CATTTATTACTCTATTTTATTCATGTTTAAATTACTGTTACAGTCATAATTTACCTCTTGGATTGTCCCGAACAAGTTAGACTTATTGCCCATTAAATAAGCTATTGTAAAAATTTTGCTTATTATGGGCGTATGATCTATATTATATACCACTGCTCACAGAACAACTGCACTACACTTAAATCACCAACTGAATTTATAAAACTGAACAGCACTACATAGAAACAGTATAACTTAAATAAAATCGAGCTAATTGATATAAAGTATGAAAAAACTATTTATGGAAACAATGACCATAAAACCATTACACAAACTTAACGACGTTCATTGCTGGGTCATATTACGACGTAAGGTATCTGAAAAGCAATATTTAGCCATAGACATTCCACAGCAAGCAGAGTAACAGATGGGACCATCCGAATGATGTGGAGAATCCATAGATATCATATTTGTGATTCAGCCCATAGATAAGTAAACATAACTGTCTATAGACTAAAATCCACATTTTTTTTGAATAAAATTAATGCTTTACTGGTTAAAAAAAAAACTGGTGGTATATAGCATCGTGCTTTAATGCAAATTGCGGAAACTTTCCGTACCGTAATTTGAATCATTCAAATCGGACGCTTAGTTCTCTCAAAAACTGCAAATTTTTGCACATTTAGCCTTGTATCTTCTAAATGGCTGGACCTGCCTTTGCCAAAAACTAATCACCTCTTCTCCCAATCATTACAAAGTGAATGTTTTTTTAGATCATTCAAATCGGATACTCCGTTCTCTCAAAAACTCGATTTGTATTTTCTGCACTCTTTGCTCCGTATTTCTGTAACGGCTGGTCCAGCCTTTGCCAAAAATAGGGTCTGTTTGCAGTGGCAGTTTGTGACGATCCACAACTCTTCCAAACTCATTCTGATTTGTTACACTGCGCATGCACCGTCTCATGACTGTTTCCAACGATTGACAGGACGGTTTACATCGAACACGACCTAACCTTCACAACCGTTTAGTATAATTCGTTTTGTTTTTATGTTTGTTTGCGCAGTTGAATATTGATCTAAAGCCGCCACAGACGTAACTGTATAACTGCGCAACCTGCGACTTGCACACGTATTCTGTAGCGTCTGTGGCGTGTTTTTTGCGCAACTGGACAGACTGGTGCAAGCGAGTAGGCATGAGCACTTTTCGATTATTTTAATTGCGCAATCGTTCAAGTCGGCAAGTTCATTCGTTGGCCGCGTGTGGCAGCACAAGTCTCGTTTCTATTTTACTTTGTAGCGAATTCATAATACAGATTATGAAGTTATCGACAATTAAAAGTT